TATATATATACTCACCATTAAATATTTTTTTTAGAAAAGAAAACTTTATTAAATTTTAATCAAGCGAAGGAAATATATCCTGAACATATGATTTATTAATAAATTTTTAGTATTTAGTGGTGAAACATCATAGAATACATAGTTATCTTTTATATCAAAATGCTTATTAGTCATGCAGTAGGTTAGTATTTTCTTCCCTAAAAATATGTCGCATTATATTGTCCCATTGACGCTGAATTAATTGCTGAAAGGGATTTATTCTATTTTGTTTGTTTAAGTCATGTACTAAGCCCTTTTTTTTTTTATAAGGATATGTGATACTATCGACTTCTCTTTTTTTATTTTTTCCAAAAATTACATATCAACGCAACACATTTCCTGCAACTACTTTACATTAAAAACGTCTCCTAAATTTTTATTTAAAGGAATCTTCACAAAAAACACAAAGTTATTGATAGCAATTAATTCTTGCATTATAATCTCTCTCTCTCTCTCTCTCTCTCTCTCTCTTCTCTTATATATATATAATATATATATATATATTTGGATGTTGTACAAGTAGAAATTTAGGGCAGATTGATCTGGGGTCCTTTTCCTGGTAATGTAGATGAATCGGAACCCTATAGGTTTGTTACATTAATGCTCCATATTTATGAAAGTGCGTGGAAAATCATACCAACACTATGTGACAAAGACTATGATGGTACAAGATAGGGCATATGCAGCATTGACTGGGCCAAATTAATATTGATGCACCCATTTTATTTTCCACATTAGCATAGCTTAGTTTACCCCTTTTTCGCTTTTGCTTTTGGGTGCAACTTTTTTTTAACAAACTATTCTTCCTCCTCTCCTATAATTATTACTCTTCAAGTCAACTTTGAATAAGGTATAACTTTATATGTAGATTATATATATCATATTTGAAATTTTAATTTACTAAAATTTTTAGAATAATTAAAATCAAGATTAAACAAATTTGACTCAAAGTCAAAACAAAATAATAATTATGATTATATATATAGGATCCCACAGTCAAAGTTTTTCATTTGACCCCAACTTTTATTTGTCTGAAAGAGTGGAAAAGTCTAACTTTTAAGGCTAGGAAAGAAGGCAAGGGTAAGTGGTTCAGTAAAGAATAGTCGAACGTTGAAACTTTGTTTATATTTCCAAAGAAAAAGCTCCTTTAAGTACATATTAAACATAACGTGATTCAAAAAGAATGAACAGAGAAAACACGACAAAGATTAGAGTAGGCATCGTCATGAGATTCATAAATAATTTGCCCACATGAGGTCCAATATGAAATACGGAAGAAAGCAAATTTTTTAGGACGAGGGGAACTTTCCTTTTTCATATATATATTATAGGATAAATTATAAAAAAAATATACTGTGAATTAAATTAGAATAAATTTGTTTATTGAGATTTAAAATTTAACAGTTAATTGTTATATATTTATATCAAATACTTTTCTAATTAACATTGATAATTTTACTTTCAAGTTTTTTTTTAGTTTTTATTTTATTGTTAGTATTAATTTTTAATGAAATAAAGGATATTTGAGTTATTTTCTTGTTAAGATACATAGGAAATTTTAACAAAAAACTTTAAATGGTAGTTTAAGTGTCAAATTTTAAATTTTAGAAAATAAATTTATTTTCTCTCAAATTACTGAATACCTTTTTTTTACTTACGTGCACATGTGAACGCACAAATATATATTCTCTACTTGGTTCAATGTCTTTGGAACAGTTTTGTTAAGCATGTAATCTCAAGTTTAAAGTCGAAACAACCTATTTCGCTATCCTCCATATTACTCTTGTAAAAAAAAAAAAAGAGAACATAATGACACATTTATCATTCATGATCTTACTATTATGGTGATCTTAAAGATTTAAATAAGAATTACATAAAAAACATTTAAATAAGAAAATGAAAGTAAATCTATTAAAACTATAATGAACTGAAAACAAAATTTTATAATATATACGTATTGAGTTTGGTACAATGAATATTTTTTTGAAGAGTTTAAAATTTATTTAAAGTTTTAGGAGGAAGTACGTTTATCATTCACACATTAAAACGATAAAATAATTTACTATAATTAATTTTCCAAATCAATTCATTTGGATGAGAAAAATTTTTCACTCTTTTGAATGGAAATTAGATCACTCCTCGAGACATGGTGATTGAGGAATGATTCAATAATTTTTTATAATTTAAGATTATCATCATGGTACGATCATCAAATTCTTATCAAATGCGGTTATTTAATCATCATGCATAGATTATCATAGATTTTTGAATGATCATCCCATGCCAAACTTTAGTTAGAATAAAAAATTCTTTTAGTACAAAATTTGTAATCAGAAGTTTCCTTAAAATATGCATCTTGCTCCAAACGATTCTACAATGTATACCCGACATTTGGGAGTGGACAATATTTATTTTGAATTTGAATCAAAGGAAAGGTTTGATGCAATTGTACTTTTTATCCTACTACTTTTTAAACAGAATGGGAAATTTCTTTCCCAAGAACTGGTGCCATAATCTCAACTGTATTGCTCACTCTATTGTTTTAGCAAAGATTAATCATGTTCATGAAAATGATCCTTATATCTTCTGGCTCTTGCCAAGAAGCTTCCTTTTGTCATGTTTGCTTCGCTGTAGAATTCCTTGCTAAAATCATGCAGCTGCTTCTGAATATTAGTCTCCTTTTTATGCCTTTAGCTTGAAAAATCAATGCTGTTCTTGGTATTGACTGATCATCTCCTAAGTATTCCATTGCAGAGAAACTGACCATTTGAGCAAATTATCAATCATGTGCGGGTTAAGTTGAGTTTCTTTCCAACTCTCAAAGTTAGTAATGAACCCATGAAACTAGTAAAACATGAACCTATCAATGAACGTAAAACAAGTAAAACATGAACCTACCTCTGGCTCTCTATAGGGGATGGGGACATTGATCGTACTAGGTTGTGGAGGAGCAAGAACGGGCTGTTCCATCAAGGAAAATAATGAAAGGAAAGAGAGATGAAGAGAGGGGGAATAAAAAAAAGGAAGGAAGGTCACATTCAATAATTACTCAAATGTCCTATTACATGTATTTGTCAAAGTGATGAAAGTTTTTGTCTTTGCTTTAATGTGCCCACAGCACTTTTAGGTCTATGGGTTTAACCTCCGACCAAACTGTTGTCATTTTCCTCCATCAGATAAGGTTGAACACGAGCACCGCAAACAGCTCCATGCCTTTGTATAGCTTGATTTTGGGTTGGATCATGCCATGTCTGGACTTCGGAGCTGGCAAAAGGCAAACCCTTTATTTTGTGCGATTGTGCCACGGCTCTACTGTCTCTGCCTCACATCATTTTTTGTTGTCAATCATTCTCTCTTGAAGCAAATTATTATGATCGGAAGTTGAGTTGTAGATTCCAAGTTCTATTATGGTCTCATGTCCTGCCCTTCATATTTGATCATTCCTCTCTTCACTGTGAAAAATACTCAGCCACGACTTCAAAACCTAAGTTTTTTAGATGGTTTTGTTAGTCTAAAAACTCTCACTCAATGCGATATCAACCTATATTCATTTACGTGCCATCTACCGGTTGGCCTAGCAGACCATTGTCGGGGCATTTAAACTTGGGTTAAGGTTTAAACCCAAGCAACCCCTTACCTCCCATTCCATTGAAAACTTCAAGCACTCACCCTGATAAATAAAATTCTAATTACATAATAATGTAGTTATTGATATAACCATATTACTCTTTCTGTTCTCTTTTGTTCAAATGGTTGTTGATATTCCTCCTATTCATGAATCAAGATCGGACAAGATGTGCATGTGAGGAACGCAAAGGGTTAACAAAAAAGCAAACTTTATTTTATAATTGATGGAGTTTGGATTTGTAATACTTCAAAGACAAAATATAAATAATATTGATAAGACTGCACTATTCATTCACTGTATATTATAGGTTGGTCCAACAGCTGTGGCAGGCCATCTTTCTTTTCCAGTCGTGACGAGTTGATTTCCTTCTTATGAAATGCCACCTGAATTGCTTCAAGAGAAGATGATTGATGTTGAAGCTAACCAAAGCTTGCTCAACTTTTCAAGGACGGTAATCATATTACCATGACTAATGCAAAGGCGATGACTGTTTAAGCCTTGTGAAACTGTGATTCAAATTACTCGGTTCAAAGTTTCCAAGCTGTTAAATTCACATAGGAAAGTTGCTACTGTCAAAGATAGATGTTAACAACTATCTGAAATACTTGTGAGTTTATGATTAGCCTGAAAAGTGAAAGTTCTAACTTTTAAGATAACCGCAATTGATCAAAAGCATATAATTTCTGTCCTCTTCTACATCTGTGGATGTACTCGAACCTAAGTGTCAATAATATCAAGCTGCTTTATTTCTTCCTATCTCTTATCTGTATCTCCAGGTGCTTTCACGCATATATATTTTTTTGCTCAGCTTTCAACCATATTTTACGTACTACAGGTTCATTCTTAAGGGATATTAATTTCTTATTATTTATCCCAAGATATTGAGTTTCTTGTTTATGTAGCAACAAATTAATCTGCATTTGTCTGGAAAGAGATCATGGCAAATTTAACTATTTTCCTTGCTGGGAATCTGAGATTTCCTAGTGGAAACCTCAGAGCAGTGGGTGAGGAAACTCGAATTTATGCTATCGAAACATTGGGCATCCCAAAATAATGTTCAAAAAGAAATATGTAGTGTCTTATTCTTGTTGGTATAATTGAGAACATGATACTCTATCCCAATCGAATCATTCGAGCTTCATGTAAGGGGCTTAATGGCTTGTTCTTCTCTGGAGAAGCACATCATAATTGGGCTGGGCCTCGTACAGGCCGAGATATATGTACAGGGACCTCGAGAGATGGCGAATGCTGAATCCTAGTATGCAAACTGGAAGCCTGGTATCAAATTAACCTAGAGACTGACTGGGATTTAAGTGAGGGAGACAGAGAGAGAGAGAGAGAGTTTCAACGATCTACCATTCAATGAAATTCTCAATACGTTTAGTAAATTTAACAATGGTTTATGCTTATACATTTCTATCAATATAAATCTAAACAATAAACACAAACATTTTAAATTACAATCCTGAATCAAATCCTCCCACCCCTTGTGGCCGAGCGGTCCATGACCAACATACGAAATAACAACCATCTCTTTACATCCAGCTGCATCACAAACAAAAAGCAGAAGAAAATAATCCCACTGTAGCTTACTCTTCTCCTTCTTGTTTGCTTCAAACGATTAATTTACATTTAATTCTCAAATTAAGCAAATCAAAGAATTTAAAATTAAATCATTGCAATTGGAATGTAAAGGCTCATTACGCTTTCTTTTTGGCAGCTGCTTTTTCCCTCTCCATATGTTCAAAGAGGCTTCCATCATAAACAGCTCTAATTGTTTCTTTACGCAATAAACCATGGTGGTCCTTGCATAGACTGTATAAAGTCCTCCATTCTGCCCAGCTACCAATCCTGCAATTTTGTTTTCCAACATTTTCATTTTTTTTTCTTTTGTACAAAATTATTAATAAACTGAGAAAAACAATTATTAAAACTAACCATCCTTTGTAATCCTTTGGTTCCCTGTTAGCCTTGAGCATTGCCATCAGTTCATCAGATGTTAAGGCATTGGAATGAGTCCGGGCGAATTTGCTAAAGATTTCTTCAAACTTCAAGGGCACAAACCTATCATATTACAGTTCTAAAATTAGATGATACAATAAATAATTCACACGAGAATACCAACCAAAAACCTGGTGGCTAGCACGTTTATAGCTAACAAATCTGTCATATTAATTTGACTTCATTTATAAACTAAATGAAAAATGGCAACCTAACCTAGTAACTCAACCTGCCAATTTTGGTCTAATTTATCTACCATATGGTGGGTCAAGTTTGACAGCATGAGCCAGTGTGGTCAGGTTCTATAAGATAGTGACTTAAATATAGATTAGGTCCTACTGTCATTAATGTATAAACAAATAGAGATAGTAGCAGAAAAAGTTAATCAGGAAGAAGAACAGGGAGTAGGAAATCTGGGATACTATCCAAACCGAAGATTTTCAGCTTTTTCATATTGTAATTACAGATTCATATAACCAGATCATTTCAGCAAGCAACTCATGACGTTCCCCATAAGGTAAGAAAGAATAAGACATTTAGCATAAAGGCATGGAATTGAGGCATGCCAGATTGTACAATGCTAAAATTAAGTATAAAGCTTAGATTCTTTGCAAGCTTTATCCTTAGCATTCGTTGGCAAGAACAACAACCGAGATCCGCGTGAAGCAAATTAAAATTTAATGAATGAGATCTACCTTCCTTCACTGTCGTATACGCCAGAGTCACTCCCATGTTTTCCCATTTGTATGTTTTTAACCTCAATGGGGAAGAGCAAAGAAAATTTCCCCTGCAACAAATGTTGAACTAAGATCATACACTGAAAAACAAAGAGGAAAATATATACCGGCAAATACTGATCTCCATATAGCTTAACAAAATAAGAAAATTTGTCTCAGATCATATATGGATTGTATTTATGTATAAATATTTTGGCATCCTATCTCGATTTAGTGAAAATATTCAGGGATTTTGAGGAAGACTGTTCGTGGTATGTTTATCCTTCTTAATTTTATGAACTCTATTTAAGGAATAGATGCCTCATTCTGACTGGAAGCTAGAGGATGAGGGAAAAAAAGGTTAGAAACAGGATTTCCAGTTATGCTGTTTTCCTCTTTCCTAGTACTATCTTCCGAGGTCCTAGTTCATGTAACACATCCCACCTCTTCTGAAACATCAGTGACTATAAATGGCAGAATATAGTATGAAAATTCAAATCTAGATAAACTGAACTCAAAAAGGATCTAGTAGATGTACAGTGGTGATAAAGTTTAAAGGGAAAAAAAAAACTTTGTTGGTCCTTATGATTTCAACTATATAATAAGAAAGTCTTTTTCATATCTCATAATAATATTAGGACCAAAGGATCTATAATAATATTTGGATTTTTAAGTCTTTATAACCATGTTTTATTGGCCTATATATGGTGCCATCCAATACTAAAATAATAAAATGAATCTATATTAATGCAATTCTTTATGAAATTTTACATATTGGAATTATAACAAATCAAATTGAAAATAACATATATATATACATATAATTATCAAAGTATCCATATCACTATATAAAGGCATTAATACTTAAAAATCATTTATCTATTGATTGAATTAATAATTTTAACTAATATAAAATATTTAACAATAAAATTACAGTTGCCATCAAAGCAAATTCAAAATTATATATATTATATAATATTTACTTAAAAATGACAAATTATATTCTAGCATAACTGAGAAAATATTTATTTAAGAAGTAGAAAATAAAGTCATATACGTTTATTGTAGCATATCTGGTTTAGGGTTTGCGGAAATTGGCTTTGGCTTTTTGTATTTTCAATCAAAATGAGCATTTAGCAAAGACATAAAAAGGAGAAGAATCACATTCCCTCCTGACATAAGTGGAAGGTAGGTATGGGTTTCCTCATAAAATGGTGAAATTTCCGAAAATTTAGAACCTTACACTTTCAACTAACATGTTATCAAATGAACCAAAAATCGGCATGCTTAGAAATGTTGTGAACATTTCAAGCAAAAAATACAAGATTTCGTGAACCTAACAGGCCCTTAAAAAGATTTTGAGTATGTGGATGGTGAAGGTCGATGCATCAAAAAATACCAATAAAAGGAAAAAAAGAAAACACTCAGAAAGAATCTCCAATTCATTGTTTGTCCTCCTCACTTCTCAAAGGCCAGTCTAACAGAAGAAAGTTGTCCGTTTGGGCTAAGCAATGGTCACCCTACACGACAACACAAGGAACAGTCTTGTGCACTATGTGTTCTTATATTCCTTTAGTCGATGATTGCTTGACTCATCCAACTCACCTAGTCTTCAAGCTATCCAAACCATATTGTCCACATGTCCAACCAGAAATAGCTTAGATTCAGACGTTTTTAAATCATGGACGGCTAGAACACGAATGTGGTTCAGAAAGAGAGAGAGAGAAACAACCACCTAATTAATGTTTGGTTTAAACAGGTAATTATTAATTAATTATCTACGCGATTTGCCACTTTCTGTTTTGGAAAAGAAAAGCTCGTGCAATGTTTAACTACTTATCATTTCCTTCAATATGTATCTCCAGTAGTTATTCAAATCCCAAGTTTTAAGAGTAAAATTTCACAAGAGCAAGGGAAGGACATAACTGATAGAACCACAGATTGAGACAGATAAAAGAAAAAGCAGTATAAAGGGATTCAGACCAAAAACCAAATCAAAATCAGAAGGACCCGACACAGAAAGAAGAGGATATGAGCGAGGAGTTTACAGGGCGAGTTTTGCGACTGAGAGCCATATTGATTAAGATAGCACTGGCAATTGACAACATATAACCAGCCCCAATCGCTCGAAAACCTGTTTAAGAGAACCCCAAGAACAAATTATAATCCTTGAAGAAATAAAAGAATTCTCTTCTTTCTTTTTTAGAGTTAAAAAAGAACCTTCAAAAGTCTCCCATGGATAAATGAGGCCATCATGGTTCCTGTCAAAGAATGCAACATGCTTTTGCAGAACGTTCTGGTCAGTAGGAATAGGTCTCCCATCATCTACTCCTGCAATGCACACAACATTCTTACAATTACTAACAACAAAAATCAGTCATCTGCAAATTAATTAAGCGTAATTTGTTCATAGAAATTCAGGAAGAAAAAGCTGCATATAAGATTATACCCTCTTGGAAATCTTTAGATGACAAAGACGAAGCCATGTGGAAAAAGCTTTGGATGGAGTGCAACGAAGGAGATGCGGTGGGCTTATGAAATGGAGAGTTAAGCAGATAAAGAGAGAAATGACAACAAAGGAAGAAACCCAGTTAACAGTTTCCTTCGCTTAGCTTTGCCTTTTTGGATTCTGTGATGTACGATCATTTCGATGTGCTCAGACTTAACCGCTATTTATAATGTATGGCAATGGTACATGAAGAGCGGCTTTTGAGTGTGGACCAACTCACGCGCTTCAGCAGACACGTCAGCGACAGCTGACAAAGGTTCCCTTCCTTTTGCCAATTTCTTCAAAACTATTCTTTTTTAAAAGAAAATGGAATTTCGAAATTTTGGGTGAGGAAGCCTGTAGCAGCCTGGCATGGCGGCCCGGCCAGCGGCTGTATGCTTTGACTTTGACACGAAGTGATCCAATCCGTGTACGCTACATTGTATATGCCGTTTTATCAGGTGTGTTTAACTGATTTTCGCTTTTGTTTATAGCTTAGATTGCCCAAAAACAAAAGTTTGAGCTTGGTGGGAATTATTTATTGGGTTGGAATGAATCATATTCCTTCACAAATATACATAAGATTAGGTGCGATTGCTTATCCAATGTTAATTGTTTTTAAATTTCATGTTGACGACATTCCATATCAAAAAACTAAAGATAGAAAAAAAGAAATTTTGAAAGGCAGTTTTATATTGACATAAGATATGATCAACTAAAAATAGAAAAACTAACAAGATATATTGTAATGGATCTATATATTCAAAATAAAGTTATGTCTATTACGTAAAAGAATGTTTCAAAGCTTTTTGATATATAATAATTGGAGAAAGAGATATTCAAATTTTACTTTTTAAGTAGTAGATTATATATTAATCAATGAGTCAAATACTCAGAGATAAAAAAAAAATTATTTTATCTTTTACTAATATAATTATGCAATGTCAAGAGAAACTCACTTTGATCTAAATTTACTTCAATCTTGGTATCTCTTATAAAGAGTTCAACATTAATAAAGTGTTAAATAAACTCTAATATTATATTAATCACGACCCACATTTACAATTTAAAAGATATATTTATATTTTTGCTTATCTCATTTTTTTAACCATATAGATTCATAACATGTATGATAAAAATTTGAATTATGAATAACTATAATTTCAATACTTGTATATCCTTTTTCTTTCAAAAAACATTATTTAAATCTTGGAATTCCGTTAATAAGAAATAAAACTTTATATTTTCTATACATAATTAGTGTCCGTTTACAATGAATCTTATAATTCATCGTTTTCTTTGTTTTGAATCAAAAAGTATATAAGCCAGTTTAATTATATGTACATCTCCATCCTCTAAATGAATGGCATGTGAGTGTCCATTTCCGAATTCCACTATATTTACACCTCATTAACATGTGTGAGTAAAAGAAAAACTGACTTCTGAACATGGGATTCAAGTCCAATCTTGAATTTCTTACAAAGCGACAAATAATTCGCTTTGAAAGCTCGCCTTGTTACACAAAGGACAACGGATATAACACGAAAAACGAAAGAGATCCCGGGGGCGTGCAACAAAACGACAGATATATTTCTGTGGCAGACAGATAAAACGACAACTAAGGAAGATGCCCTGCCCAACATGTGAACACCAAAATAAAGGTCGTCTTTCGCTACTGCTTGCCTTTGCTTTACACCAACAAAAGCAAGCACTTCTGGATGGCCACACGCATCTCCTGCCATTTGTCTTCACATTTCTCAAACTCAAAATCAATCAACTTTGCTCACGCGTTCCACACGTGCCAATAATTTATTTTATACAAATAAAAACAAATTACACGTAATGATGTGATAATATCACATAATACTAATATAATGATGTAATAATACTAATATGACACTTATATATTGATGTGTCAATATCACGTAATAAGTCAAATTTTTTTTAAAAAAAATTTATACCACATCATAAGAATCAAATTGAATAAAAATATATAGTACAGAAACTAAATAGAATAAAATTAAAAAATTAAGAGATTAAATTAAAAAAAATATTTTAAAAATATAAATATTTAAGTTGATGATAAGCATTCTTATTAATAAGTCAAATATTTAATTATAAAAAATTTATGATATTAAAAAATATATAAATATTTTTTACGTGATTATTTGATTCTAGAATATATACATTAAGTTATCACTTTTGCAAAAATTAAGTTTGAATTCTCTTTCTATAAAAAAAATTTTTTTAAAAATTCATATCTAAAGTTAAATTTAGATAAATAACTTACATTATATTAAATTAAAATAATATAAAAGACTAAATAAATCCTTTTTTCTATTTATAATAATACAAAAATTTAAAATTATTTGATTTAGTTTATAACTTGAACTGAACTCAAATTAGTAAAATATGTTAATTGATTTTTTAAAATAAAAAAAAGAGATATAGAGTTAGTAAGGATTATAAAAATAATTTTTCGCTCTAATTTATTTAATTTAGACATAACAAACCTCTTATTACACTTATAAAATTTGAGCTAATCCACCTCTTCAATTATTTATTTATTTTTTATGTTTCATTTTGTTTAATATTTTAGATTATATTTTTAGGTTGAAATATTCTATAATAGTCCATTTATGATTGATAGAGTTAAATATAATTGTAAATGTTTGTACCATTTTATTTTATATTCATAAATTTTTTGTAGATTTAAATTAATAATTTAAATTTAAATTTAACATAAATTGATTGTGGTATTTAAACTTAAATAAAATCGTTTTATAAGAAACTTTGAATAAATTTAAATAAAAAGAAAATTGAATAAAAAGAAAATTGAGTATTAGTTAAACAATTTTAAAAGAATGAGTATTTATAAATTGTGAAAGTTATAGCTATATTAACTTAGTTTGCTAATTTGAGTTCAATTTAATTTAAAAATTAAGTCAAATAAATTTTAAATTTTAATATTATTATAAATTAAAATTAATTTAATTTTTTTATATTATTTTATTCTGATATAATATAAATTATTCATTTAAATTTAATTTTAAATATAAATTTTTTATTTATATATTTATTACGAAAAAATTGATTCAACCTTTTTAAAAAAATAAAATTATATTATTATTTTATAACCATGAAAATTAGGATACTTTAATGATTAGGCTTGTATTTTTCTTTTGGCCAATGATTAACCTTGTATGGATTTTATTTTAATTTGGAAAATGCTACTGACAATGGCGGCTTTTTTAATGTTTAGTTGTTTCATGGAAAATATTTCATGAAAATTCATGATATTTTTAATGGGCCAAGGGCCAATCTGTCTTAAAAAATTGGGTGATGGGGAGAATTACATTCTGCTCTTACTAAATAAATTTCCTAACAACGTTTTTCAAATGACAAAAAGCTACAATTTGTTAATTTATAAACACCATATCCCATGCATTCTAACTAGCTATTTAGCTAAACTATTACATTGTTAATGAATTTTAAATTGCGACCTACTTAGTACAACTGCTGCTTATTGACAAAGATTCTCTATAATTTTAATGAGCTGATAATTTGTAATCTATAGATTATAAATTCATCTCTGAAAAAAATATATATTAAACTTTATACCTACTTTTTTTTATGAGAAACCACTATTATTTAATCTCATAAATTTTAGTTGTTATTGAAAATATCTAGGAAAAGTTTCTTATTTGCTTTATGATTGGTTTTGGGATCCTTGGAATACTTGGAGGCTGGATGATTCTATGTTGTTTTATGTGCTTTGTTGCTACCTTTGCAATTTGGTATAAATTTTTTTTATTCAAAAGAATAAATATGTGTGAATATTTATTATGTCATGGTCTAAGAGTTCAGGTCAACTCAAGTAATCAAGACAGGTCAAATAACCAACAAGTCAGATATAAGAGAGTAATTGGATTTGAACTCTTATACTTGATTATGTTTATTTAGATTTAGATATAGATAAGACTGGATTAAAATTTAGATTTAATCCATCCAAATCAAATCTCTTAACATTATCTTTATCTTGTAAATACTATCTAGATATAAATTATTAGTCTATAAATAGGCCTCTTACTTCATTTCTAAGTACACACTTCTTAATAAGATTTTTTTACTATATTAATATTTTCTCTCATTCATGGTTATTCAAGTTATATTTCACAACAGATTATCAGCACGATTCTCAAATCTCGAATCATAAAATTATTGAAAATTCATATGGTCATCCATTGAAAAACTAAAAGATTTTTCAATTTGATGAATTTTTATGTGTTGCTTACTCTCAAAGCAACTTAATTATAAAGCCATTACTAGATAAACTTGGGCTTGAATCCTTTATATTTTTGAAATGTATTTAAGGTGATATATGTAGATTCATACATCCATTATGTAGACCATTTAAATATTTTATGATTTTGATTGATACATTGATTAGATGATCACATCTGTACTTATTATTAACTTACAATTTGACATTTGCAAGATTACCTACCCAACTCGTTCGTTTGTGAACACATTTTCTTAATTATGCAATCAAAACTATTCATCTTGACAATGTAGGGAATTTACATCTTAAATCTTTAATAAATATTGTATATTAATTGCAATAACTGTTGAACTGTCTGTTGCTCATGTTTATACACAAAATAGTCCACCAGAACCATTTATTAAATACTTCTAACTAATTGCAAGACCAATGTTTATGAAAACTAAACTTCTCATTTATGCTTGGGAGTATGCCATTTTGCATGTAGTAGTACGCATCATGCCAACAAATTATCATAAATTCTCTGTTATACAATTGGTTTATGGTCAGAAACTAAATATTTCCTATCTAAGAATTTTAGATATGCAGTATATGTCCTAATTGCTCTACTACAATGCACGAGGTAGGTCCACAAAAAAAGTTAAGATTATATGTTAGATACAAATCTCCTTCTATAATAAATATCTAAAACCATTAACAGGAGATTTTTTCATAGTAAGGTTTGTCAATTGTTATTTTGATGAAACAAATATTTCAACATTAAATGGAGAAAAAAAGCAACTAAAAAACATTCTTGAAATACATTATCATTATTTAATTTTGATCATCGTACAAATCAATGTAAACTTAAAGTTCAAAAAATAATTCATTTGCAAAACATAACA